TTTCATTCTCATTTGATTCAAGGAATTTTCAAATTTCAATTTTGATTTCTTCTCTTACCCAGTCTTTCTCAAGGAGGGTATTGTTGAGTTTCCATATGTTTACTCTTTTCCTGTTGATCTTCTATTGTTGATTTCTAATTTGATAGCATTATGATCTGAGAAGATGCTTTGCAGTATTTCATTGTTTCTAAATTTATGAAGGCTTGCTTTATGGCCTAACATATGGTCTATCATGGAAAATGTTCCATGTGCACTGGAGAAGAATGTATATTGTGCTGCTATTGGGTGAAGTGTTCTGTAGATGTCTATAAGGTCAAGTTGGTGGATTGTATTATTTAGCTCTTCTGCATCTTTGTTGAGTTTCTTTCCAGTTGTTCTGTCTTTCAAAGAAAGTGGTGTATGAAAGTCTCCCACTCATTGAAACAGTTTCATCATGGCTGCTGTGAAATATTTGTCAGAAAGCTCTGCCATCCTTGTCATCTTGGTCTTGGCATTTATTGGTGGTCTTTTCTCATTCAGTTTGAGATTTTTCTGCTTCTTGGTGTAGTGTGTGGTTGTTGGTTAGAGCTGGGACATTTCTTTCTGCTCTGACATGTGGAATTTTATTATAACTTCATGTTCTAACTAGCTTTCTCTGATAGGGCTCCAGGCAGAAACGTTGCCTAGGAACTGCCATGTAAGGTAGAAACCAAGGTTCTTACTCAGACTCAGTCAGCGTCCAAAGAGAGGAGGAGCCTCTGTTACTACTTGGCAGGGGAGGGAGGTCCAGCTCCCACATGTTGTCTGCTGACATCCCGGTGGTGATCAGCAGCAGGGGGCGGGAGCAGAATGCCTTATGTGATTGGACCACTGAGTCCATGTGGGTGGGGCCCACTCCTGACCCCTGGAGATGGACATTCTGACTTCCTGTATGGCTTTCTTTGACACCAGTCTGTTGCAAGTGTTGAGGCATCTCATTGCAGCTTCAAGAGTGTGCAAGTCTAAGCTCCTCACGTAGCCTTTGCTGGGCGGGGTATGTCTGTGGTAAGAAATTTGTGATAACATTAGTTATCTGATCTCTTCTGGTGGATTTAGTAATTTAATGTTAACATAGAGAAAATCTTTATATCTTCAGGAAATTACATTATAGCCAGATTCACTGTAGTTTTCCATAGCCCCTGGGACCAGTCTGTATTTAGATGGATAGATATTATTCTCTCTTTCCATCAGCAGCAGGGCTATACCAGCCAAATGAAGGATGAGTCACTATGATTTTACAGAAAAATAAAATTATATAAATATCTATAGAAAAAATACATTAAAATATACTTAAGCTGCTTATAATTTTAACATTGTTTTTCTGTGTCCCTTACATTTTTGTGTTCTATTACAATGAAGTTATAGGGAAAAAAATAGTCATATAACCATAAAACCTCAAATGTTTTTCCAAATTAAATCATTGTCTTCTTCAAGGAGTCATGTGTGTAGTATTTTCAAAATAAAAAATCGTTTTAATTAACTTATTAAATATTTATTAAAAACACACTTTGTGTCAGGCCCTGTGTGGTGATAAAGTGATGAGCAACACATGCACAATTTCTGCCTCCATCACACTTACTCTGAAGTGTTCTCCTGGAACCAAAAATCAAGATAGAATAATGAATCAAATCCTCGATGAAAGCGTTTATTTATTTTTTATGAATAGTGCTGCTCAGGAAAATAAGGTATGATCTTTGGAGCATATTCTCCAAGAAAAACAGACTCTCTGGCAGTGGCATTTATCACTAATGTTCATTGAAATTAAATTGATAGCAAAGATGATATCATAAAATATTCAGTGAGCTGTGCAAGGAGCATAGATCAGTGGTTTCCCGACTATCTCGTGGGTGCTTACGTTGTTTTGAAGTGGAAGAGATACGGCATTCCCAGTGATGGCGGTGGCTGTTAAGGGTTTCCATTAGTTGAAAGCCGTGATGTGAAGTCATCCCCAGACTCGTTTCGTGTTGGGACAATAATTTACCAAGACAATTACCGCACACTGGAATTTTTTTGCAGCTCTAATTCAGTATTATTAATAATGGATAAAATGGCACTTTTCTCAGGTTGCTGAGGGCGGTGGGGAATTCCTTCAATGAATATTTCAGCACATTATTTTAATCATCGCTCCCCCAAATTCAAGTGGGCAATATTTTATCCTTTTTCAATCAGTCTGCTGAGAGGCTGTGGTCATTAAATTGCCAACTCTTTGCAGTGAGGTCTACCCTGATTTACCAGCCTTGTTTAAAAACAAACAAAAAAAAAAAACGTGTAAAAGAAAGCCAAAGGTGCCATGCAGCCTCGTGGCTCCACTCAGCGTCTGTACTAACAGCCTAGACTGACGTTTGAGCAGAAGGAAGAACTGACAAGCTAGCCTGCTGAGTGGTGTAACGCCCCAAAGAGTGGAACCTGGCTTTTTTTTTTTTTTTTTTTTTTTAACTTTTGTTCATTTTTGTGGGAAACATCCACATGCAAGTACAAGGGGAGTATATCAGTGTCTCAACCATAGTGTCAAACTGCGCAGGGATGAAACGCACAAGCAGAAATGGGTAGCAAAGGAGGGAAGGGCAGCTGTAAGCCCAGGGAGCACGTGCACGAGGCAGTTAGACTGTGGGCACTGCCATCGGTGCCTCCAAGCAGAATGTGCATGAACCGCTGCACGGAAAAGCTGTGTCCGGGTGCTGTGTCCGTGGAGTGGGATTTTCCCGTGGGGAATGCCTCTGGGGTCGTGCGCGGGCACTAACGGCCCTCTCTTGTTCCCCCGCAGCCAGGTGCACGACTTCTGGCGCCTGGATTACTGGGAAGACGACCTGCGGCGGCGGAGGCGCTTCGTCCGTAACGCCTTCGGCTCCACGCACGCGGACGCCCTGCTCAAAACTGCAGGAGAATACGGTTGGTACCATCTCTGACCCGAACACCGGGCACGCCCCGGCTGGAAGGGGACCCCTGGTGGCCGAGGGCCCAGCGTCCCCAGTGTTGGTGACTGCCCGCCTCACCGGCCAGGACGCTTGGGTTATGCTCCGTGTAGACCCTTCACGTCCCGTTACTAGGTTCACTAGCTCCACACAGTTGGTGATCGTCCGCTAAGCCCCTCATAGAGCCTAAAACCAGAGTAGGGCCCGTTTCTTCCTTAGCATCGTGCGGCCTTTGGTGAGCAAGACCCAAGCCAAGACATGGGTGTGACCTTGTAATCGTATACTCAGACTGGCATCCCTCACAAGTGCACTTGCCTGTTTGCATGTAGAACTTGTGTGTACATATGTCTAGAGGACATGTGTCCACATGTAAGCACTTGGGTTTTAACTGAAACAGATGCTTTATTAACTAACTGTCTTAGGTGGCGTTTGCTGTTATAATCTATTCTGCTCTAGTGTTGTCATTTGAAAAAACAAAAAGGAAATCAGTTCCAATCTGCTAAGTTAAATTCCCGGTCTGCAAAAGGTTGTAAATGAAATGTGAACGTGGGTCCTGCATGAAGAGATGGTGAAACGTGACCGGGTGCTAGAGGTGTACGTACCCTGCAGTGTCCTTGTGGACGCTGCTTGGATTGCTGTCCACCGGGAAGTGTGCTCAGGGAAGCGAGTTAAATTCTGATTGATGCCATTGGGACTGTGTAAATTGTGCACACTCAGGAGATACCAGCCATGAGCGCGGGCCACATCGTTTTGTTATTAACCGCTTCTGTTCTTGCAGTTACCCGTATTTTCTCTTATATTCATTTGCATTTATTTGAAAGTAGTAAGTGAACCAGCTGCTGGGAAATGTGCCATAATTCATTCACAGCATGTAACCCCATTCACATACTCAGTATATTGGACAGAGAAAAGTTGTACTCCTTATAAAAAGACAGAATGTGCAGAACATTTTAAGTGAAAACTCTAAATGACATAACAAACTGTAAGTGATAAGCTATAAATGATACTGTAGCACAGTCAACTGTAAGTGCTGTCATTTTGTTGTTGTTGTTATGTGCCGTCGAGTTGGACTCGACTCACAGCGACCCCTCCTTGGGTTTCCAAGGCAGTATCACTACAGAAGTAGATTGCCCAACCTTCCTTCCGAGGAGTGGCTGGTGGGTTTG